TAATCTCTAATACTATCCAGGAACTATACCAAGTCTACTGTAATAAACTATATTTCCCTGTAGCTCAACTAGATATGATGTAGAAGACTCCACAAGTTCAAAAACTTATTTATCTGTAATTTAATACTGAATGCTGAGCAAGGCACTTTAAATTCCCTAGATTATATATTTGACAAATTTGAAGATATATTCATTTCTTTTAGGATATTGTTATTATTCACATAAAGTTGGACAAATAATATTGGATAATTTTCTTTATTTCTTCTTAATTTGTTGCAAATTCTCCATTTACATTTTTGATACTGGTAATAAAAATCTAATATGCTGGCACAAAGCAATATTTCAGTAACATTACATATCTGTTCCCTCAACATTCAAATAATTGTAATTCAAATAAACAATCTGTCCCTCCCAAGTGACTTACCCAAATTCAGACAGGTAGTAAGCATTAGATATAGATTTTGAACCAAAAGCTCCTAACTCTGGAATTGTTCTTCTCACTTGTACCATTTCTCCATTGTTCTTTCTCCTCCATCATCATGGCAGGTTTTGTAGGTTCCTTTCAGTTCTAAATGTATGAAACTTTGAATCTCTAATTAGCCCAGAGCAGTTACACTTGACCTCAAATACCCAAGAGCATTAAAGGAAAGGAGAAGTTATTTAAATGATAAATTTTTAAATAAAGTTTATGTGGAATGGGCAGTGTTATTTTAAAGAGGTCAATTCAGGGCTAGAGCTGTATGTTTACTGAATCCATTAATATTAGGAAACCTGTTCTTATATCCCAAGAGGCAGCTTGATATTGTGCAGTGAATAGTAACCAAGGATTCAGAAGATATGGGTTCTGATTTTTTTACTTGAATATTATTTCCCTTTTTTATTTTTAAATTAATTTATTTTTAGTTTTCAACATTCACTTCCATAAGTTTTTGAGGTTTAAATTTTCTCCACATCCCTCCCCTCTCCTCTCCCAAAGATGGCATGTGATCTGATATAGGCTCAACATATACATTCCAATTAAACCTATTTTCACATTAGTTGTGTTGTAAAGAAGAATTTGAATGAATAGGAGGAACCATGAGAAAGAAGAAACAAAAAAAAAAGAAAGAGAGTAAATAATATGCTTTGATCTGCATTCAGACTCCATAGTTCCTTTGCTGGATGTGGATAACATTTTCCATCATGAGTTTTCTGGAGTTGTCTTAGATCCTTGTATTGCTGAGAAGAGTTAAGTCTATCAAAGGCAGTCATCACACAATGTGGCTGTGCTACTGTGTACAATGTTCTTCTGGTTCTGCTCACATCACTCAGCATCAAGTCATATAAGTTCTTCCAGGTTTTTTTGAAGTCTGCCTGCTCATCATTTCTTTTGGCACAATAGTATGCCATTACATTCATATACCACAACTTGGTCAGCCATTCCCCAATTGATGGGCATCCCCTAAATTTCTAATTCCTGGCCACCACAAAAAGAGCTGCTATAAATATTTTTTTACGTGTAGGTCTTTTCCCATTTGTATGCTGTCTATGGGATACAGCCCTAAGAGTGCAATTGCTGGGTCAAAGGATATGCACATTTTTATAGCCGTTTGGGTGTAATTCCAAATTGCTCTCCATAATTGTTGGATCAGTTCACAACTCCACCAACAATGCATTAATGTTCCAATTTTCCCACATCTTCTTCAGCATTTATAATTTTCCTGTTTTGTCATGTTAGCCAATCTGATAGGTGTGATGTAGTACCTAAGAGTTGGGTTCTAATGTTGTTTCTTCCACTTACTACACATTCTACTTTAGCAGGATGTTGTACCTAATGATTTAATGAGAAAATAGAGGCTATCCATTGTTCTCCCCTTTCCAACTCTCCACCTACTACAGCATCTAACATAAGACCTTGTATGTAGCAGATGTTCAATAAATAGCTGTTGAATTGAATTTTCAAATTTAGTAAGCTTTGTGGCCCTATTCAAGTCACTTAACCTCTTATCAATTAAAGACATTTTTTTAAAAATGTGCTATTTTGTTTTCTGTTAAGAAGCACTTATCCTCTCCTCTTTCCTGCCTCCCAATGGGAAAACAAAAACAAAGACAAAACCCTTGTAATGAATATGGATAGCCAGGTAAAACAAGTTTTTACTTTGAATGTATCTAAAAATGTTTGTCTCCTTCTGCATCTTGAGTCCATTACCTCTCAGTTATATGGGCAACATGCTTCATCACTGAATCTGATATTTTTGTGATTGTCCATTGCATTAATCAGAGTTCTTAACTCTTTCAAAATTCTTAGTCTTTACAGTATTGTGAATATTGTATAAATTGTTCTCCTGATTCTACTCACTTCCCTCTACATCAGTTCATACAAGTCTTCTCCTTTCTTTGAAGCCATTCCTTTTTATCATTACTTACTCCTAAACAGTGTTCCATTATATTCATATACTACAATTTTTCCATACATTTCTGAACTGATGAACACTCCTGTAGTTTCCAGGTTTTTTTGCCACCACAAAAGAATTATTATAAATATTTTTGCACATATGAGGTCTTTTCCTCTTTCATCTCTTTGGGGTATAAGCCTAGTAATAATATCTGAGTCAAAAGGTGTACAGTTTTAGTGTTATTTTTAAATATGGTCCTATATTGCTTTCCAGTATGCCTGAACCGCTTCTTACTTTCACCAGCAGTACATTAATATGCCTGCTTTTTCAGAGTCCCTCTGATTTGTCATTTTCCCTTTTTTGTCAATTTTGTCAGTCTGATGGGTGTGAGATAGAACTTTGAAGTTACTTTAATTCCTATTTCTCTAATTTTTGGTGTTTCATTGTGTGTGTGTGTGTGTGTGTGTGTGTATAAATGTATATATGTATGTATATACATACACATATATTTCACTTTGCAATTGATAATTTGAATTTCTTCCCTTAAAAACTGACTTCATATTCCTTGACCATTTATCAGAGAATGACTTTCTTTTTAGAATTTGAATCAGTTCTTTATATATCTTGGAATGACCCCTTTATCGTGGAAACTTGCTACAAACATTTTTCCCAATTTACTTGCTTATTCCTCTAACTTCAGCTGATTTAATTTTGTTTATACCAAAACCTTTTTAGTTACATGGAATTAAAATTCTCAATTTTATATGTTATGATTCTTTTAATCCTTTGTTTGGTCATGAATTCTTCCCTTATCCAAAGGTACAAAAATTGGTTTCTTACATTATCCTCTAATTTATTTGTTATATGATCTTTCATATCTAAGTCGTGTATCCATTTGGAGTCTCTCTTGGAAGGGTTTGAGGTATTGGTAGAAACCTAATTTCTGCCATACTACTTTCTATTTTGCCCCAGAAGTTTTTCATGGAATGGTGAATGTTTACTTCCTTAGCTGTGGTCTTTGGATTTATTGAGCACTATGTACCAAAGAGCGTATAATCACTAAGCATTTACAAAGTGCTTACTCTGTAACCATGGACTATACTAAGAGCAAAGGATATAAATGAAAAACAAAAACAGTTATTGCCTTCAAGGAGCTTAAATGGGGATGTATAAATTAGAATATACGAATTATATACAGAGTAGATGTGAGGTAATTCTAGAGGAGATGGCCAGGGATTCTAAGAGTCAAAGGTGGGGAAAGAGAGAAGTCTAGACAAGAGGAATAGCCAGGTAAATGCACAGAGACATGAAATGGAGGGATCTGTACAAGGAACATCAGGTAAGCCAGTATGGCTGCATTATAGAGACCATAGTGGGGAGCAGAATATAAGAAGAATGGAAAGGTAGGAAAAGACCAGGTTGTGAAGAGCTTTAGATGTCAAACAAAGCATTTTATGTTTGATCCTGGAAGTAAGAAGGAGCCACTGGAGTTTATTGAGCATATTGGTAGAATGGTTAAACTCATGCCTTAGATTATTTTGGCAGCTGGATAGAAGGTGGATTGTAGCAAGCAGAACTGAAAAAGGGGTACCAGTTAGAAGGTTATTGTACTGTTCTAGGTGAGAGATGATGAAGACCTAAACTTGGATTTGAGTTTGGTCTCTATAGAGAAGGGGGTGTATGTATGGATGTAGAAAGAAACGATAAGATTTTGGCACATGTTTAGATTTTGGGGGTGAGCAAGAGATAGGAATCAAAAATGGCCCTGAAGCTTTGAACTTGACAGTAGTAGGAAAATTCAGAAGAGGAGACAATTTAGGGTGAAAGAAAATAAGGTTTATTTCATACATGTCAAGTTTAAGATGACTAAGGGACATTCAGTTCAACATATCTAGTGGACTAGTCAGTGATAGGGGACTGGAGCTTAGGAGGGAGAGTAAGGCTGGATAAATATACATGGGTATAATCTTTAAAGAAATAATTCAAACCATGGGAGCTGGTGACGGCAGCAAGTGAGAGAATATAGAGAGAAAAGAACGGAGGTTTCAGGGCAGAGCCTTTGGGAATATCCACAGTTATTGGTCTCTCAACCAAAATGAAATGAAGAAGTCAGATAGGTAAGAGGTGAAACAAGAGACAAAAGAGTCATGAAAAGACAGAAAGGAGCCTTAGTTTTATCATCTATAAAATAGGGTGTTAATATCTGCCTACTTCACATGCTTCCTGTGAAGATTAAATTCACAATTCTTTGTATGCCTAGCACAATGCCTAGCACATAGTAGGCTCTTAATAAATGATTATAGTGATTGATCAAGTGAAATAAAATATATGAAAAAACTTTGAAAACTATAAAGCCCTATACAAATGCAAGATTTTCTTTTAAATGCCAAAAATATGCCTTTTCCACATTCAAGTCACAGTTTAGGAAAGATTTTTTTAAATAATGGAGTTCTTTATGATTATAGACAGTGGTGCTTTTATAAGAAGTGTTGCCTTTGTGTGACTAATGGAGAAACCAAAGTCACTTTCAGGTGATGAAAGAAAAAATATCATGAATATGTTGTTTAAAATTATGACAAATATTTTGTTATGTTAATATTATGATGTCCTTTTCTTCCCCTTTAGGAATTATGTCGGATCACCAGTTTGGAAACCAGTTTATGTGCAGTGTAGTAGCCTCACACGTGAGTCATCTACCAACAACCAATCTCAGTTTCGTTTGGATTGCTCCACCTGCCGGCACGGGCTGTGTCAACTTCATGTGAGTCCTGAGATCTATTATTATAGGTGGTGGGAGGTGGTCTATCCTTGTCAATATGCCAGTTACTTTCCTTTCCACTTTGATGAAACAAAGTTTAACATCACATCTTCTCATAGCTTTGTGTCATATAAATTGCTTAGGATCACACATGATTGATTCCTTACTGTCTCATTATAAGTTTCTGAATATACCCTTTTGACAGGAAATCTCCCTTCTTTAGGTAGGATTAAAATTTCAAATATAACGATAGAGTTAACATCCAAACAGATTTACTAAGCATGCTCAAGTCGTTGGGACACTAGAACCATATGTCAACTTAAAATGGTAGAAAGTCAAGGCAAATTATCCTTTGAGTAATATATAACATGACCTCTACTTCCATTTATTTTCCAATCATATATATTCATACATAAATATATATGTAATACATAAATGTGTTTATATATGTATACATACATATGCATACACATGCATTTACATGTGTGTGTGTGTGTGTGTGTGTGTGTGTATGAGTGCATGTTATGGTAATTGCTCCAAAATAGCATTCAGTGAAAAACAATAACAAAAAAATTTTAAAAATGAGTGTATCTATAATGTCATAATTATTTATTTCCTATTAATTTAGGAAAGTATTTCTTACACTCAAGGGTAGGGAATATTTTGTTGTTGTTGTTATTTTTCAATTGTATTAAATGTTAGCCAGGCTTAAATGGAGGCACAGGTAATATAGAAGAAAGTACCCTATGCCTGATAATAGGAAGATCTGAATTACAGAATCATGGCATTTCAGAGTTGAAAGGGGCTTGAGAAGTCATCTAACGCAACCCTTATTTAATGCATGAATCCAGTCAACAGCACCTTAATGACCTCCTAGAGTTCACATGATGACTTCCAATTGTATGGAACTGTCTAATAGGGTAGCATATCAGATCTGATTATTTTCCTTTTATTAAGCCAAAATCTACCTTCTTATAATTTATACCCATTGGTCCTATCTCTGCCTTCTGGGGACAATCAGAAATAACCTAGTCCTTTTTCCTCGTGCCAGACTTTCAAATTTATATACACTAATGCTGTTTCCCTCCCCTAAGTCTTTTGTACTACAGATTAAAAAATTTCCAGGGTTTTTTTTTAAAGGGGATCCTTTTATAGAATGGTTTCAGACTGCAAGTTCCTCCTTGCCCTTTTATTCTTTCAGTTAAACCATTCCCGTCATTATAGAAGCAATATAGTGCAGCAGAAAGAGTACTGAGCCTGGAGTCAGGAGATAGTTGAATTTGAATGCTCTCAGACATTTCCTAGCTGTGGAACCATAAACAAGTGACTTAAATAACTCAAACTTTTATTTCCTTATCTGTAAAATGGGGATAGCAGTTGCCTTATAGGATTTCAAGAAGATTAAATTTTAAAAATGTTTGCAGAATTCTTTCAAAAATGGTCAAGTGCTTTGTAAATATTGATTACTATTCCAGACAGTCACCATTGACTTCCCTTTTCTAACAGGCTAAATGATCAGTGGTGCCACATCAAAAAAGAGGCTTAGTGCATGTTTCTTAAAGACTAATTTGCATTGGTCCAAGAATTCTCCATCCCTGAAATGTATGAGTATTGCTCAAGCTTGTAAAAGCTTGCCTTATTCAGGATGCTTTGTATTTCTGTATACATTATTCTCATAAAAATTTCTATAGATAAGAAAATATGTGTTTATGTCAATAATTGTTGCTTTTCTTTATTACCTTTTTTTTTTTTAATAAACAGAGTGTGAGTCTTTTGGCACGACTGAGGTATCTTAGGCATCATCAAGTATTTTGTAAAGTGATCCTTTGATTCTTTTAAAGTTGTGTTGCTCCCCTAAGATGAATCTCCTCTATGTACACTTTGTTTAATCCAGCTGTTTTTCTCATCTTCATTTGTCTCTTCTCATCTTCATTCTCTATATGTTATTTCTCTTTTATAATCACATCAAGGACTATGACATTGGTTCAAGAGTGTTAGCTTCATTCTTTTTGGTAACAGAAAAAATTATTATAAAAATTGTTGCAAATCTTTTCCATCTTTTATCTGTTTGTCATCCTCTTTCCAACCCATTTTAAAATACTCTCAGCATGAAATCACTGAATTCCAAAATATATATTGATTTAATTTATGTGTTCTTCAACTTCTACCAAAGGTACATATGCTGCAATAATTTTCATGGTAGTTTTTTAAATGGTGTTTTTTTGTTTTCAGATCACATTTATTTATTAATGTATCTCTTCCTATTCCCTACTCAGCATGATCCCTTATAACTAAGATCAAAAATTTTTTAAAAGTTCAGCATAATCAACCAACACATTAACTGCTTCTGACAGTACATACTTCATTCTGCTCTTAACAGTGTCTTACCTCTCCTATGAAGGGAGAGAATCATATTTTCTCATCTCTTCTTTGACCCCAAGCCTTTGTAATTGTTACATTGTGTTCAATTTTGATTTATATTCTTTCTATTCATACTGTTGTAATAATTATATGTATGTATATATACATGTGTATACACACATGTACATACATATAGTTTTCCTTGATCTGTCTCCTTCACTTTCTATTAATTTATATGTCTTCCCATATTCTCTAAATTCTTCATAGTTTTCTTATGGTACTATGGTATCTTATGGCTTTGGTATTATAAACAAATAATGTATTATGTTCCTAAGCTGGTTTGTTTGACCATTCACTTATCAATGAGCAAACAAATCTACTTTGTTCCTAGCTCTTTGCTATCATGGTATTCTTTTTGCAAATACTTAACATGAGCATTGCAAATGAGATGAAGCAATATGCCATGAAATGATGTGACTTACTGCTTTTAGATGAATGGTGAAACCGACCCTGCCAAACCTTTTATTTGCCTCCCTGAGGAAAACATGAGAAGTAGCCTCCACTTAACTGCAACTTCCTTCTGTCTGCTTGGTTTGTTTATAATAAGAATGTCAGGATTCATATCCTTCATTCCACCAATAATCTGTACACTCTGGTTCTTGGATAAGAATCTCACATTAGTACTAATAGATAACCAGTGTTTTATAGATGACTTAGAAATTGTGTGATTCTCAGCATACTCTGCCCCATTTTTGTCACTCTACTACCATTACAATAAAAGCAAAAAGTGTTGGTTTTTCATGAGTTTCTCTGGCCAGAAAATTCATCATCAGGTGGTCAGAGGTAATGTGTCTTTATGTACTAAGTTTGGTTGGTTCTCAGAAAGCAGACTCCAATCTTTTGCTTCATACTCAAAACTTTTCCAGTATAACCTGAGCTTCCTAAAATGAATTCGAGACAGGGAAATTAATGAGGAGCCATTGCAGGACAGAGACAAAAAAATGGAAAGAAGGATGAACAAAATAGGGAGTCACAATGTAGAAGAGCAGCCTTGACCTGTTCTTTCACAGGTTCTGTGAATTATGTGAAGATAGGTGCCCGGGAGCAAGAGAACTCTAATTTAGACAGCACAATAAATCAAGATGACTTTGTAAGACCCTGAGGAGGCAAAAGATCAGAGACAGACTATTTATTGGCCAATGTGAAAGTACTTCATATTTTTATTAAGTTAAATCAAATAAGTTACATAATCCATATTTTTCTTTGCCCTGTTGTCTGCATGGGCCCTTTAAGGCACAAGTCAAATTCTCACATTCTTCAGATAATATCATAGGTAGCCATCATCGTTGTTCAGTTATTTTTCAGTCATATCTGACTATTCATGACTCCATTTGGGGTTTTCTTGGCAAAGATATTGGAGTAGTTTGCCATTTCCTTCTCCAGCTCATTTTACAGATGAGGAAACTGAGGCAAACAGGGTTAAGTGACTTGCTATATGGGTAGTAAGTATCTGAGGCCAGATTTGAACTCAGGAAGATGAATCTTCCTGACTTCAAGCACTGTATGTTATCCACTGTGCCACCTAGCTGCCCAGTATGAGCCATAGAGATAACTATTAAGAAGCCTCCAACACTGGATCTGGATTGTGTTATCCTATAGCAGGAGGGAGGGAGGAAGGGTCTGCTGATTTGCATTGGTGAAGAGAATTTCTAAACCTGGAGTTACTATACTGATTAAGCCACTGGTCCAGAACCCAGCCCTCCCTAACCCCTCCCCCTAAAATATTCATTGATCCTTAGATCATTACTTACATTTTTACTTACTCGTATTTTATCTCTCCAACAAGATTGTAAGCTCCTTGAGGGAAAGAATGGTTATGTTAACCTTTGAATTTCCCAGTGTTTAGCATTTTTCTATATAGGTAGTCACTTTTTAATAAGTATTCATTAAATGAATTAACTAAAAATTTATATACTACTTGCTTCTAGGTGAGGCACAAAGTTTAAAGAACTGATGAATTAGTCTATTGTTGAGATTTTTATCTTGTCCTATGCAACTTTTAAGAATGCCATGTCTCTATTACCTCTATATCTAAGAAAGGGAAGCAGTACCAGTAGAGAGTGGATTAGAAATGCCAAAGAAGACTTATTTTGGATGTAGGCTAAATCTTTGTGAGTATATGTTTAAAAGTTACATACCTAATATTTCATTATTAATACATCCAATGTATTTAATTTTATATCCAGTATGTTTTTTTGTAGTTATGTTATAAGACTATATTCATAAATTATAGTATCAGTGGAATGTAGAACTAGGGAAGACCAGCTTGATTTATTCTTTTCATATTGGAGAATTATTTTGTAACCTAAAATTTGAAGTAAAGTTGCATGGAATGAACATACAGTTCAAGAGAGGCTAAATTGCTGTAATTCTTCAATATCATTCCCTTGCTGGGAAAGAGTTCTAGAACTCCCTTGATTCTGGTAAACTTTATATATTTCTGTAAGGGATCCACATTTCTTTCTGTCTGGAGCTATTTCTGAGAGTTAGAAACTGCATTAATACTGTATATGAAACAGTAATGTTATATTAGCCCGCCAACCTATAATGCACAGCCTGTGATTTTAAAACCTGGTTACCTA